AGTAAAATACGGTCACGAGTCTCAAGGGACTCGGACCAAAGGAAGACTGCGCTGGCAAGGGCCAGCAGCATATACAAAAGACAGACCCGTCCTCTCGTCAGAGAGGGCGCCAAACAAAATCAAGACCGTAACTGTCAAACAGTAATAAATATGGGGCTCGAAACCAAGACTTACTCACTGTCTGACTGACTTTGAACAGGCCCTTACTCCCTTGTGGAGGCGGGGTCGAATACCTCCACCGTCAACCTGCGAGTCGTAGGAGGCGACGAAAAGGCAAGTCTTAAATTTGAGACAGTAAAATATGGTCTCTGGGGCTCGACACCAAGACTTGCTGACTGACCGTCAGTCGCAATATGACTTCGACTTTTTAACAGGTTTCAGTGTTTAAGTGACAGTTGTCAGAGTTCAGCCGTGAGCTGGAAGAGCGTGTGCTACGGAGCAGTGGCATTGTTCCTCTGTTGTAAATCCGTGAAGACTGGTAGAGCTAGACTGGAGTGACTGTAAATTGTGTAAATCGGCAAGAGTGTAATGAGTGTAATGTGCACCCCGTCTCCAGCCAGCCAAACACGTGACAATAGACTCGTGTATTCGCAGGTATTCACTGCGGATTGTGAGTGTTGACAAGTCCAGAATCGTCACTGTGCTTTGCTCTGGTTTAGTTTACGGCGTTGTCAGTAGATGGAGCTAGTATAGCATAGGAAGGTGGAGTGGCAGGTGAATGATGAATTTGAAGAGATGTGGAAGGAGACGGGCATAGCCCTAATCGAGATCTCGGCATTTGCCTGGAGGAACTGAGGAAGACCACGAAAAACCTGAATGGGGGTGGCTAGGCCGAGATTCGAACCAAGAACCGCTCGAATACAGGTGTAGAGCGTTACTGCTAGACCAGGCTGTTCGGTTGTATCGTTTCGACATTGTGACATAATGCCTGAAAGCCGGAAGAGTGGAGTCAGAGTATACATTCATTGATAGGTAACGGCTCGGTAAACACGTAAACAAGTTTATTAATTCAATAATTGATAGTACTAGTGTGTTTCTCTTCACTCGGGCCGGATATAACCTTGTGAGCACCGTGTACAAGCCGAGTACTGGAGACGGTGAATTTACTGCGGCTGTCCGCAGAGGTTCGGTGCCACAAGGAGGGGAGAGAACAGCTATGCATTTTCTTATTTTGAACTGCAAGAAGTGTGTGCGTGCGTGCGTGCGTGCTAGCGAGTTGCCGCCGGAACTGCAAATGGGCGGCACGGAACCTGCCTCACATTGCAGCCGCACGTCGCCAGTGCAGGGCCCCCGAAACCCGAAGGAACTTTCTCTGGTATGCCTTTCCCTCTAGCCCCCTCTCCCTGTGAATATCTGTGGAGCAGGTTCTACTGTGAGCGCACTCACACAAACCGAGTCCTTGAGCCATGCGCGTCTCACTGTGTACCCAGCTTGGCTCTGGTTAACAAATAACCGCGGTAATGACGTGAGAGCCGGAACAGCGGGGCTGCAGGAAAATGTGCATTCATATTTACTGGCTTATGAGATCACCTTGCTCTCTGCGTGTCTGTGTATCCCGTCTATCGTTGCTAGTTAACGGCTCATCAGACGTGTTCCCGCGGCAACGAATACACACGCAACAACAGAAAAATTGTTAATTCCGCCGCATTTTCTGTGCCCTGCTCCAGCCACTCTGACTGCATCACGACCACAGAAGAACTGGACGAAAGTGGCACGTCGATGGAAGTGACCCACTCAAGCCACTGAAGTGTACAATTCTTAACTAATTGCACACAAGACAGCAAATTGACTGAAAGGTTGTAGTACGTGTCTGATTGGCAATAAAGGAGATAATAATAAAAAAAAATGCTATGCCATGCGTGTCGTATCAAAGGGAAGTAGGAGATTAGTACGTACCAGAACTGCTTCTTCAATAGGCAACGTTCTCGTGGCAACACAACAATAGAGGAACTGTTGAAAGCGATGTTTCTATTGTTGCGCTGCCGCGGTAAACCGCCAGATTCTGATTGTTAGAAGTCGCTACCAAGCAACGACTAGTGCAGACATAGCAGACTTGGAAAACTAGATGTGTGCTGTAGTTATCTGTAGAGTGTGATGGTTAGTGAAATGTGTATAATAAGCATTCAGCAAATTCATTGGATCATTGGTGTGAGTGAGGGCACGCCGACAGCGTCACTGTGATCAGAAGAAGCCGGTTTGGGTGGTGATGGTGTACATTGTGCCAGGATGTGCAAACCGAGTGTGGGACCTGTCCAATGGCTTGGTGCAAGTAAAGTGCCCGGAGCGTAAAGCAGTTCCCTCACCTCCATCTGATGCTGAGGCTCAGCCTGCTTCCCCACACCGGTACCGTTCTCTCAGTCTTCTGCTTTATTCCAGTTTGTTGTTGTCTACTTGCCATCTCGTTCCTCTCCTCTGTGCTCACTTCATTCCTTTTGTTTCCTACGCGTGTGCTGTGGGTTTCAGGTGGGATGTGGTTATATGAAGAGACGGCCACTTGTTGAACTGTTCTGTATGCACGGTGTACACAGAAGCACTTCGGGTTGAAGAACTGAAGAATAATAACAATAGTGAACTCTGTAACACCTTGAACGTTGTGTTGAACCGCAACTCTGAACTGGAACTCTAAACTCCGACTGACTGACTGACTGACGGTCAGTCAGTCAGTCAGTCAGTCAGTCAGTCTTGGTGTCAAGCCCAGTTTACTCTAAACTTCCAAGTCACATTGCGACTGACTGTCAGTAAGGCAGTAAGTCTTGGTGTCGAGCCCCATCTGGGGCTCATGACCAGTTATTTATTACTGTTTCAAGTTTACGGTCTTGTTTTTGTGGGACGCCCTGTCTAACGAGAGGACGGGTCTGCCTTTTGTATATGCTACTGACCCTTGCCAGCGCAGTCTTTCTCTGGTCCAAGTCGACTGGGGCTCGGGACCATATTTTCTGTCTCAGATTCGAGACTTCCCTCTTCGTTGTCTCCTACGACTCGCAGGGCCACGGTGGAGGTATTCGGCCCCGCCTCCACACGGGCCACACACACCTCCAACGGCCTCCAAACTTCCACTTAATGTATCTTATATAACCTTGAGTCGGACCTATAGGAAACATGTCACTGTCCGTAATGTTGCGTACTCAGCCGTTGCTAGGCAGCGAATGGTTTCTAGCTTGCGATTGGCTAGCACTCGATCCACTGTGGGTGCTTCCCATAGTCACATATTGTTGTAGACCTTACATAGCAACGACTCTTTACTCGCCGTTGCTAAGCAATGGTACCTGATCTGTCACCGAGTGACTGAATGTTATCGTCTTTTTGGGTGTGACACCATGTGCGTAATCTGGTAGATCGTTACCACCGCTTCGAAAGCGTCTGTTTTCAGGATAGAGAAGTANCAGCGGGGGGGGGGGGGGGGGGAATTGCGGGGCCCCGTGGCCGGTCGATTACCGCTGGTAAGTGCAAGAACACACTTCAGAGCGGTCGGGGATTGCTACTGGGCCGCCAACAGTTTGAGGGACAGGAAGCGACCTTCTTTCGAGGCAGGAGATCACGTTGAATTGTTTTGCAGGTTTGTTGTTGAGCACTATGGAAATCAGCCAGAAGGACAAGTTACGAGGCTAAATATAGCTGTCCATGAAGAGACTTAACGCTGTGTAGTAGTCTCTGAAGGATAAGCCAAACAAAAATTACAAGCAAGGAATAACCAGAGTCCAGAAATGAAACACACCGCCCGCTGCTTGATGCATATCTTGGACCCACATCCCAGAAGACATGGAACCCTGTCGCGTAGAGTTCACCCGCGGTTTGTGCGGGCAGGGTTTCTTGCAGGCCCTTCATGTCGGCACTTGCATAATGGTGGTGCTGCATGTTCGGTTCGAACCGTGGATTATATTGATCGGAAGATTCCAGCGGGCGAGGATGAATATACGGAAATTTGTTAACCGTTTTGAGGCCTGATGTTAATCTAAGTGGTATTTAAAAATTCGGCCCTACCTCACGGAGAACACATTGTGTCTCCATAACAAAGACAAGCGGTTGAATTTGTTTGGGGAGATATTCTGTTTCGTTGTTTATTGTGAGGATCGTACGAAACACGTAAATACACCGTGTGGAATATTAAAGCAGGTGATACATGTTGTATGTGTACATGTACTGGTGTGCTCGAAAGGCTTGATAAGAAAGAAGACAACAGGTCAGGGGCAAGTTGAAAGTTTCCAGCCAAAACTTGGCACCTTCATTCATTGTTGTGGCGTTTGCCATGACGTTAATCTGTTGTTCTGAGTTTGTGTATATAATGATTCAATATCAACTGCAGCTGTTATGTTATCTGATGAATGGAGAAGGATTCCGAATTATCGGCCGCGGCCTATTTCAGTGACAGCTTTCCCAGCCCAGATATGAACGTGCTTTGTTACAGCGGTAACTCCAGTATCCACTTGCTGTAGTGTAGTGTGGCAGTGCTTTGGGCAACACTGGCCTTGTCTTTCTGCGGCTACCCTCTTGTGACACATTTTAGTTCACTCTTTTGGGATTATTAATGGAAGGCAGGCATGGGTTGACCTTTCACCCATTGCGGTGTGCGTTGTATTCTGTATGTATTGTGGGAACTACAGTGTGGCCCGCAATTCTATGACAACATTGACTTCGACTTTCTCAAGTATGCAGTAAACTCCCCCTCCCCAATGGCCATCTGATCCTTTCCTGAGCCATCTGAGTCCAGTTCACGTTCTCACAGTCACCCCATGGTTCACTGCATGAACGACTCCATTGAAGCTGAACAAGACATGCAAAAAGCCTTCTGCTTGTTTAGGCAAAAACAGTTTGCTTGTTAAGACAAGCAGTAAGATTCCTTGGCTAGGGGATCAATCCTTCACAAGTTCAGTATAGAAGAAGAGTGTGGGCCAGACACTCTGAACTTGTCTGCTGAGCGGGTTATGGACACTTCAACCACGTCTGGCTGTTCCCCCCAAAGGTTTCTTGTGCACAGTGTAACAGTTCTTGGTTAATTGCAGGCGTGCCGTGGGTCAGGGCCAGCAGCAGGGCCTGGCCCCTGCCCCGACAGGGACATTGAATGGCAGCAGCTCCCAGCAGCAGGATCCCACACCTGAACCAAGCGCACCCGAGCCCTGTACATCCGGCCCTCAGCATGCAGGCCCACAAGGTACGTGTTGATCGGGAGAAACTAACTCTCACAGCAGTCTTGCGCAGATGTGACCCCATTTAGGTGATAGAAGCTAAGCAGGAACTAGCAGGTAGCTTGCTTATTGCTTGGCTTAGCTATCCTTTGACCCCAAAAATGTAGGTGACAGTTCCTATGAATTGGTGGTTGACTTTCAACCAACCCCTTGCATGACAGTTTTTCCCAGAAGATAGAATCCTTCATAACCACTGCTGTTAGAACCTCAGATCTCTCTGGCCCACTGGGAATCGTTTGGCTCATGTGTTGAATGACTTGCATGTGATGTATTCCCTTTTTGCACCATAGTTTTTACTTGTGAATGTTCTCAGCTCTACACATGTGCCATGTTCTTCTTCAAGGTCCCCATAAGAATCAGAAACTGTCACTATTACTAACAGCAGGCATGAACAGGTGCTTGGGTGATCAGGCTGACCGCAACACAAGACGTCAAACAGTTCATGTATTTTAATGTGGTAATCCTGGAATGAGCCTTCATTGATACATTGTGAGCACCGAGAGCTGTGCGCTTTTTGGGTGCTCCCAGCATTTTCATCATACCTCAGCCTTTGAGGCTTTGGCATGTCTTCCTTATGAGACATTCTGGTACTCAGGAAGCCTCACCTCAAATGAAATGAATCTCTAAATTCTTATCCAGCCCATAGTGACTGATTTGAATTTAACATGTTTGTCTATTTTCTATTGATTTAATTTCTGGAAGTGTTTAATGGAAGTGAAGCTGTGGACTGGATTCAGCTGGCACAGAATAGAGTCCAGTAGTGGACCACTGTGGACACAGTAGAACTGTTGGCTTCCACAAAAAATGAGAAATTTTCAGACCAGTGGAGTAACTCCCAGTTTGTCTGTATTTGTGCTTGTTTTCCTTAACAGGTGCTAGTGTGCCTTTGGAGCGGTCCATTTCAGCACCTGCCTCAACATTCCATAGTATGGGCAGCAGACCTGCACGGCAGGCACGACCGCCCCTTGGCAGGTCACTGTCCAGGACGGAGATGGTCAAGAAGTGAGTAGCAACAATCCATGGCTTCTTAGTTAAAGTTTCTTTGCCATGTAAGGAGATTTGCTAAAACTGTGGAACAGATACATGATTTTGTGTGACATTCAGAGTGTAGGTTTATGGTGCCTTTCTTTTTCTCTCTGTTTAATAGTTCTGTATATTCAGTTGGTAGTGATGTAGGTAATGTGCTGGGGAAGCATGTGCTGAGAGACCTTGCATAGCATGAAGAAATACTTTTTGGCATGTTCACAAAGAAAGGTGTAAACACAGCGCCTGTTAGCTTCACCAAGTCCCTCCACATATATCAAGTCAAGAAACAATAAACAGATCATCATGACATATGAAGACTTACTGGAGCTTCTGCTTGCACCTCAACATAAGTTAGTTGCTGAATGTTTATTTGACAGACACTTTTTGAGAACACATTATACTTGGTACACTTTTTTCGTAAGTCTTGGGTTTGTAAGAAGATTAAACAAAGCTTAATGCACACACCAGAAGTGCTAAGGTATTGAATTGAATTGAATTGAATTTATTTACATTTTATAAATCCTAAGCAGGTTAGTACCTTTGGATACAGAACAAGTCAAAATGTTACATACATAAGTACAGGCAATTTTAGCTTAAAAATTAATATAACTTAATTTTACATCATTCTCTATTTACATTGAAGTATTCATCTAAAGAGTAGAAGGAATGAGCATGTAGATAATTCTTTAACTCTGATTTAAACTTTTTAGTATCATTGCCCAAGTTTTTAATACTTTGTGGCAGATTGTTGAACACTTTTATGCCAGTAAAGTAGACTCCTTTTTGATATACTGATAAAGTTGATGAGGGTAGGTGGAAGTTATATTTTTGTCTGTATGTGTATATTTCTTTATTTGTCTTGTTTTGAGAACATTTTGTGAATGTTATTGTTGATCTTAAGTAGATTGCAGCCCTGCTTTTTTGCAAAAATGTATGTGGAGGGCAACCTAAGAGACAGAAGCTGCCTCTACAGCAAGTCTGGTGAGAGCACCTCATGTTATCATGTTACCATGTTCTCAGCTACATCAAGCGGGAGACTGCTGCATTCTTTGGTGTTGAGGAATCATCAGAAGAGGAACAGCAAGCCAGATGGTTAGATCGGCGGAAGAGGCTTGCAATCAGGAAGTACGGCTCCCTGAAAGAGGAGTACCTTTCCCCTGCAACGTCACCACGGCCGCGCAGACAGCATCAGCTAACAAGTGCCTATGCAACGCAGGTGAGAGCTTCACAGCTGTCACCATGGAGACTACTGTCCCCATGGCTGTTTACCAGTGTTTCAGGCTAAGTGAGACTAAGTCCAGGTTCTGCCCTTTTTTCCATATACCATGGACTGTTTATCTCCTCCTGGTCTTACTCTTCTGCTCTGAAGATGGAGGCAGCAGTTTCCTCTGAAACATTAGTATTACCTACCAGACTACACAACATCACATCCCAGAGGAAAGTAGTCCTCAGTATTAATATAGATGGATGGTGCATGATAGAGTGTGTTGGAGTCATCTGGCTTTGGATCATTGTATTGTTCAAAACATTTCCACCTATTATCTGTACCTTATTTCCTCATGATCCGTTTTAATATTATACTACCAACTATTTCGGTTTTTTCGATTGGTGTCCTCCTTTCCTTCTGGTTTTTGGATTAAAATTTTGTTTGCATTTCTTATATTTCCCATTTTATTTACTACTACTAACACTGTTGCTGCTGGTACTTTACTACTGCTGCCAACAATGACAGTGACAATAAAGATTATACAGACATGGACTCTTTACTGTCAGTTGCACAGATAATTGCTGTCCTGTCTGCTGTGGTACCTACATAATGTAAAGAGTGTTGGGTCTCATGCAGTCCTGTTTCCTCTTCTTCATTTCAGTTGCATGATCACTGCTCTTCTCTCTTCCTTTCTGTGTGTGGCAGTGCCTCATTCTCATTAGCCTTCCAACAGCCCCCTTCAGTGTCTGTCTTCCATTTTTCCTCTTGAAAGCTGAGAGCTGCAATTACGTGAGGCAGGATGACAGCTGTCTGATAACCCATTCATAATTGTGGCATCTCTGACTCGGCCATGACATGGGTGCACAAATAGTGGTCCTCAGGCTGTACATGGCCTCCAGGCATTGCCCTATACATATGTGTGGAGAAGACGTGGACCTGAGACTCTTCATCAGATACGGTTGTGCTGAGTGTGACACCATGTTTAGGAGAGTAATTAATTACTCTTGTGCCTGAGGGTGTGGGGATTATATATATTGAGTTTGAGGCCTTCTTGAACACACTGACCTGGAAAATTAATATTGAAACCTTCTGACATAGGGCACAACCTCAGAGATGGTTTTTGGTTTATAATTTAACAGTTTGCAGCTCAAAGCAGATGTTTTGTCTCAGGTATGTGAAATGTTTCTGTGCATAAACATGAATTGGCCAGTGAGAATGAATATTGATAATATTTTCATAATAAATAAGAAATTTCAGTGTTGCCTTAAGAAAACCCAAGCAGAGAATGTGTAGTTAAGGTAGTGACTTACAAGCATTTTTAGGGTTTCATAACACACTCTTACCCCCTGGACAGTGGTTAGCTCTTATCAAGCACAGGCTCCAGTTATACTGTGGTGTGTGGAAATGTGGATAGTTCACACTTGCTGCCAGTTGTTGGTGGTGTTCTGTTGTGTATTGTGATTGGGGAAGTTGCAAGTAAAACACCATTATAGTTCTTTGTGTTGAAAATATTTCTAATAATTTTGTCTTGTTTGAATTTTTTTATCACCAGACTCGGGACACATTGGCAACTGGGCGGCCCGATGTGCTGCCTGGAGGTCGAGAGTCACTTGATGCCTCTGGGGGACACGTGGCCACCACCCCACAACACTGGGCTGAGCCTCCTGTTCGACGGAAAGAGTCTGTCGCGAGGATGACGTTTGGGGGCCTTGCCTATACCCTGGCTGTGAGTCATAACACGAAGCGATATCATGGCTAGGCAGCAGGAACATAACTATGTACTGGCCGCAGCTTGGTTAGCTTCAGATGTCAGGATTATCCTTCATTCCGTATAAAGGGCTGACACTTGTTATTCTATCGTTAAGTATGTAGCAGTCAGAGTTGGTAGTAATTACAAACAAATAGGAGTGGAAAGTGAGAACAATAAACTATGGTGGCAGGGACCCAGACACATTGTGAAGTTTGGTGTCTACTCTTGCCAGCAAGTATGCTATTCAGTTTGCCATAGCAACCACTAACCACTTGCTGTTTCAGGCTTTAACCCGACATCTCCCCAGGCGTGCCACTGCTCGACAGTTTTCACGCAGTTACCCATCACCCACTGTGGCGCCCAGTTTGGGTCCCTCCACCCCCATTACAGATGATGAGGTAAGTTGAACACTAGACCCCATCCACATGACGTGCATGCACGTGAAGGGACAGGCAAGAGTTGTGGGCCATGAGGAGACTCAAATCTCAATTGATATTCTGTCATCTCATTCCCTTTATAAAAACATCTCCAACATGCAGACAATGCAGTATGTAAATGTGTGTGCGTGTGCGAGCGAGCGTGCGCGCGGTAATCACTGCCCATTAAGTGGTCAAATGCTGTACAGCCCATGAAACTGACAGCAGCATTGCTAAATAAATAAATATTGTTATATTGTGTTCTTTTGATTTTATTATAATCATTATGCCATATTTCCTTAAAGAACCTTTTGTTAGGTACATGTTCTGTTATGTCTGTGCTTTTGTATTACAGTGTGTCTTGTTGTCTGAATTCTTAATGTGTAGTGAAGTTACAGAGTTTATTAAGGGTGCCTGATACAGTATGGCTGCGTTACAGGTATTCTTCACAGCACCAGTTGGTGCAGCAGCAGTTCCTGTCGTTGAGACGTCATTATCCATGGCAGATCAGCCAGAAAGGCCCGTTGAGCATGTGGCCTTGGTGACAACTGACGCTGGTTTCATGCATGCTCGGGAACAGTACCCTAGGTGGGTTTCATGGCCCGGATACAACAGTGTGAGGTTATGTTCCACCAAAAGTAAATTGTGGGGCTGACATAAATTAGGCTTTCAGGTTTAATTGGGATGGAGTTAAGCCTAGGAGTCCCAAATTTTGTTACTCCAGGCATTCACATAGATTTCTTATTACAGTCAGAATTATAAATTGGAAAGCTATATTTGTCCTGAGTCATTTGCTGTCCATAAGATACACAATTATTCATCCAAATACATGTCAAGGGTGCAGCAGTAAAGCCTCTGACAGAAAATTATATGGCACCTTTTTCTAACCTACAACTGCCACCGCTCTTATACTGAGCAAGTGTCAAGTGCTGTGTGTGTGTACTGTTTACTCCTTGTGGGGGCATTCATTTCAGCTGTGTGCTCTTCACAGTTTATGTTCCCATGAGCGATTTAGCCCATTGTAGTATCCAAACTGTGTTGAGCTGGACCAGAGTAGAGCTTGCTTCCAAACTGTTAAACCAGTTGGAACACTGCACTAAACTTTCTCACCTATCATATCTGTAATTATCCTTTAATTTAACACAGCTTTTGTATTCCACTTAATGTTAAATTATTTTCAAACCCATTCCCCATTTCTTTCCATAATAGAGCCTTTCATTGCTCCAGACTGAACATTATTACAATTCTGTTTTATGTAAAAAGATCATCAAATTGGCGAAGACCACCTCTGGAACCAAGTGATTCAGGACCTGAAGTCGGCTGTTCCCGCATCTGGAGTCGAGTCTTGGATCGAGTATTTGACAACTCAAACAGACGACTGTATGGCATGGGAGTCGCAGGACGCATCTTTAGGTAAGTTGGAGTGAGACTGGAGATCTGCAGATATTCTGAAAATAGAGTCAGTAATTTGAATTGTGACTATTAACATTGGTTCACTCATGACAACCTACAAGTCAGCCTCTCAGAACTGTAACCACAGAAGGGTGTTTATCCCTCAAGAATGCTGAGCTGTTGTACTGTGTTTATATAACTTCTTTGTTTTCTTGCAGGCGTTCAGTGAAGCATTCTGTGGCAAACACAAAAGCTGTGCAGGAGCAACTGGACGATATTGAGGACCATCGCCCGTTCTTCACATATTGGGTTACTACAGTACAAGTCCTCATTCTCATCATATCACTAACATGCTATGGTCTGGGACCAATTGGCATTCACCTCAACCATCGATCCGGACAGGTGAATGTTGCTTTGCACTGTTGGCTCTATTTGTGTGAACCGTTGCAGTCAGCATGTCCTGCAGTTGTTACAGAGTTGCAGGACACAGTATCAGCCTTAGAGCAAGTCATTTGATCCAGTGCTCTTCACTGGTGGCCCATGGCTGCCACATGGCTGTCCTTTGCTACATAGTGACTACTACTTTCTCTCACTTAAATGTGGCATAGCCCACACTTTCCCATCTTGAAAATTTCAAGAAAACTACAGAAAAATACAAGATCCAGTTACTGCACTCAAAACAGTTCCCCAGAATTGTATATCAGAATTAAGTGTTATGTTACTTTGCCCTCCAGACAGCATGATGACATGGCTAACTGCACAGAGCAGAGTACAGTCGCCATGTGCGCCTTACCTAGCACAGTTCATCAGTGGCATTAGGCTTCAAAGGCAACTGGTGAAAACCCATGTTGGTGTCGCAGCTTGGCCTTTCCTTTCATGAAAAATATAAAGAAAATGCTTTCTGTGTGTTCATTAATATGGAATAAAGTACCAGCACTTCTTTTAGGTGAATTTGAATTATTCCCGTAATATGGCTTCTGTCGTTATGCTTCACCTGTACTTCTTGCTGCTGCCATTTTCATAACTTGTTGAAGGTTCACAGTGATTGATTTCCAAAGGGTCATCCATTTAAGTATCGTACATATGCAGGCAGGCTGTAGGAATGTCTGCATAAGAATCTGAATATTGCAGAGTGCGTACTCACGTCACAGGATTCGTGGACTGTTATGATGATGTCTGTTACAGGTTCTGGTAACGAGTCTTTCTCTACAGCAGGTGGACTATCAGGAGCCAGCAAATTTCTGGATTGGACCACGAGCTGTAAGTGGCAAATTGTTGAGGCATGAGAGTTGGGTGTGGAGCTTCTAGTAAAGTTGGCTGCAGCACAGCAGTTCCTTGCAGTTAATGTCAGTCCTCAGCTCTGGTTCTGGTTTTCCTAATGTTTTCTTTTAATGCAGCAGAATATAGACCACAGTGTGTTGTGAACGAGTTAAAACATTCTCTAATAGTTGTAAACAGAAATTAAGAGAGGGCCATGTTATTTGTCAAGGTTTTGCTCTGTAGACGTGTGTTACTGATAACAAACAATGTTCAGTTTCACCATGAGGTTTGCAATTGAAGAAGTGCCTGAAATACAAACTGTTATTTTTAGCAGGAAATAGTTCAGAACTCATTCACACCCTTTGTCTCATGGTGTGAATGAGTTCTGAATCCCTTTCAGAACATGATCTGTAGACTGTAAACGAGGACCAGCTTAGACGAAATGACTGGAACTCATACTGCTTCACTCTGTCTCAAGCGCACATTCTCATTTGACATACGTATGCAGGCAGACTTAATACATCTTGGGGCCAAGTTCGCGCCGTGCATGCGGAAGGACGCAAAAATCATCAAAGAGATTGAGAAGGGAAGGGAAAAGGAACGAGAGACAGCATGCTGCATTCGTAATGATGATTCCGGCTGTGTGCAGTCCTCCCAGGCCGATTGCTCAGTAAGTACGAATCATGTCCTTAAAACCAAAACATGTAGTAAGGCTTTGTTGTTACTCGAAGTAGCAATGTACATGTTGAACAGCCAGTGAGTGCAGACTGTGATAAGAATTTAAGACACCAAGTTTGATATCACGTCTGACATGGATTAGATGACTCGATGATGTTTATTAACCCATCAGCTACAAAGCCCCACCACACTACTACTTGCTAGAAATACAAAGGCTGCTTAGGGCTGAATGCCATTGCACATGAATACTTAACAATAAATACCTCTGTAGATTACCTCAAGTGGACCAAAGACATGGATATTATATAGATATATCAGCATATGGCACTGGGTGCCACCTATTGACAGAAATTCTCTATCTACTATTTGATTAACATTGAGCCATCTTCAGCTGTGGCAGTTTTAACACGACTACACCCAGCCAGCCGATCTAGTTGGCTCATGGTGTGCTAAGGGTTAAGAATTTGATATTAACTGTATGACAGTGCTACCTGGCTGTTGGAAGGGTCTGAACTGCTGTTAAGCATGTTGAAATATATTTTGTGGCGTGCTTTGAAGCCTGCCACCAGTCAGGAATGTTATTATTGAGAGCAGCCAGGGTTTTACTTGAAGCATTAGTTCTACTGTAGTCACCATGTTCATCTCATAGCTTTGTGAAACTGACCACAGGCAAATTAATTGATTTATATTTTAATCCTATTTTTGTCTTGAATATTTTTATTTTATGTAATGTATGACAGGACAGAGCACTTAACTGAAGAAAGCCTCTCAGGAAGGGGGAAAGAATGTGGAAGACATATTGATATCAAATATAACTACCTCACACAAGGCATGGATTGTCTGGGTTCAGGTCCCATGTAGGATGATGATATTTGTCTCAAAACTAATGTAATATGTTGCATCAGTCAGAGTCCAAATAAGTACCAATTTAAAAATAACTTAGTGAGCATATTATGGACATCAGCTTGCATGTCAGTTCCCAGTGTGAACATTGTCTGTAATTCAAATCATTTTTCATTTGGTACTGCAGAGTCATTGTATCATATGAACATCACACCTGCATGCATTCTGATGATGTTTGTTTGTAACTGTGTGTAGGGCACACTATGCCCGTTTCTCATATTCAGTGAAATTTAATTTGAGCGGTAACGTAAGTAAAAAGAGGTAAAGCTATCCCTGTAACAGACCATGGAGGCCCATAAGGTTGTGAGACATCGAGGCTCCCACATTTTATAGACAGTTGGCTCACAGATGCTGGTGAGGATATCAGTCTTATGCACCGGCCATCCTTTACCCCCAGGAAGAGTCCTGGTACTCCTTTCTGTTAGAGGCTGAGTCAACCCCAGGGCCATTTCTTTTTTTTTTTAATTCACTTAGTGGGGAGTGGAGTCCAGCTGGGTCCACTCAGCATGTCGGCCACTGTTTGGCCTATTGTACCTGTCCCGGGTGATTATGATGATGGAGAATTTGGTGGAATGAAGATTGGCGGGGGAAACCGAAGTACTCGGAGAAAACCTGTCCCAGCACCACTTTGCCCACCACAAATCCCACTTGACCAGACCCGGGATCTAACCCAGGCTGCCGTGGTGGGAAGCCAGCAACTAACCGCTTGAACTATGGCACGGCCATCCCAGGTCCATAGTGCGGATGGAAGGATTAGGTCAATTGAAAAATCCACTGACCTCATTAGGAATGGAACCCATGACGCTCCAGCTTGTTGCATAGTGCTTCAACCAAACTCACTACCACGTGCCCCAAGCAGCGAGGTAACAGTTAACAAAGAGACATAACCCTCTTCTCATCCTGCTTGAAATGAACTGATGAAAGAAACACAATTCTTTCTTTCAGCTGGTATGTGTACTGGCCAGCAAGTCATGCATACCGGTACACTTCTGTGGGGTCACCACCGAAAACATGTTTTTGGAAAAAGAGCCTAGTAACACATGCAAAAGCATCGTTTAGATTTGAAGTGTTAATATGCTACATCCTGTCATTATAGTGATGGTGATACACTTACAAAGCAGATGTATTAGATTTTAATACAGAATATCTGGCACGTTTGTAAGATGACAAGATTGTTAAATTCAAAACTAAGGTAAAACTTTATATTTATTTAAAGAATATCACTTCATATTATGATATATTAGTCCATAAGTTTCTGGAACAGTTGGTGTGTAAGATGCACAGTCATCTCAATAGCGTGCGACCCAGTTCTGATGAGTTTGCTGTGCTTTGTGGGACTTGTCATCTTGTGAACTGACTGATGAACATTTTGCACTGTAAGCATATGTATAATGTGATTTTTCTGTTTTGTTGCAACCAACTGGTGCGTGGATTGAGACCAACGGTATGTGATATCTCCTGGTCCTCTTGAACGTTGCCTGTGACTGACTGACTGGTTCTTTTAGTGCCTGACTGATGCAGCATTTTGATCACCATTTCTTCCTTATCTACTTATTCTGTTATTAAATTTTCTTGCTATAACATTGTAGCATATTTGTCAAAAAGCATAATTTTTGCATGTTTCATGTTTTGTTCAAAGTGCTGTGAGCATTTTGTTGCTATTTACTGGTTGTGCCCTTGGTCTGGGAAGTTATCCTGGTAGTAACACTGAAGAGTGTTGGTGCAAAATAATGTCACCTAATCTGAAACATTTTCTTAGTTGAAACTGAAAGGTGTGTTAGTTATTCTTTCAGAATTGATGTGCCACATTATGATGGCACAGTACCTAATAATTGGGAGTGTGTACTTCAGAAAGATAGGTCCCCAGTGTGTAATATGCATAGGTAGTTTTAGAGCTGCTGTTACCCCTGCAACTGCTGCTTTGTATGGTCAGGTGTGTAGTTCACTTGTAACTCAGACTTGACAGTCTCATTGTCTGTAACTGAACAGTGCTGTATGAGCTAGCAGACTTGGCCAGTGTACAAGGACATGAATATAGTTTGGAAATGACAGGGCTGGATGGAAATATGAAGAAAACAACAGAAAACCTCAGTTCCCCTGAACATGACCAACCTCAGCACTATGTATAATAACAACAATGTAGTGCAGCCAATGTAGATTCTAAAGGCTTTTCTTTGACAATGGTGATTATAACACTCAGAATTACTGGGTTTTTAGACTTATCCCTTGGCCAGTATTCTATAGAAAATGTTTAAGAAACTGGATCTGTATCCATGTTTAGACGAGGGAGTGGGGGCACCTACACGGTTGGGTCCGTTTGAAAGTCATTGGACCTCCATCAGGCTCCTGTTTATGCCTACGTCTCTCTCAGCTGTCTTTCTGCTGCTATGACAATTCTTGCTTATTGCAAATGAAATGTATGGGAGTTTGTATATGTTAGAATGTTGTGTTTCACCTCATGCTCAAGTTACTTCTGCTGAGACTTTGTCAGTATCTGATGATTTGTACTGTTTCAACTGTAATGGAAGAAAAACATTTATCATTATGTTTAGGAGCATATTACTGGATACTGACATGGTCCTTGTTCCACAAATCTGTGTGTTGGAGCTGTTCCATGAGACTGCTGATAGTTGTCTGGTACTGATAACATATTTCCTGGCAGTCTGGCCATCCGAGCAGTGTAGTAGTTCAGTAGTAGCCTAACATTTGGAAGGTTGTAAACAGACAGGCTGTCTCAGTACAGTGGGGTTGTTGGCCATGAGCGGTGAGCACTACCTGCAGGGAGAACATCAGTTGGTCACAGATGATCTAAACACACAACTACTTACAGCATGATAGTGTATTCAACATGCAGAATGAGAGAAATAGTTTTGGTGTGGTAGAGATTCCTTGCCGTTACTGCATGCAATAAATACATTAAATGTTGTTCTGGAAACTGTTTGTATTTGCGTGACAGTGCATTTTATTTTGGAGAAGTGCAGTAGTAGACTGATATGTAGCGTGGCTGTACATATTGCGAGGAAATGATCACTTCCAGCAGTAGTACTTGTAACTAACTAGCGGAACAGCAATTAGTGGCCTGGGATACTGTTGCTTGTAAGAACAGATGTTACATTCAGTTCTTGTGTATTTCGTGAATATATTTTGATTAATTTCAAAAGTCGGAACATTCGGACAGACAACATGACATGACATCCCCAGAATGTGTTCCTTTTATATAGTTCAAACAGAAGTAATTATAATAGGAATATTAAGTTCACATTATGAGAAAGTAACACACACATCAAAACTGCAGCCGCAAATTTAGACATGCATATGCACACACACACACATACACACACATATTTGTCCGTGGAACCCTCCTGTAATCAAAAATGACTTGTCTTTTTCATGAACCACAGTTCTTATGTTTTAATTGTCTGAAGCACAGCCTCAAAGTGGGACCAAAAATGCATTTACATTTCAGGAATATTGCACAGTTCATTTAGAATGATAAACCTTCACAGAGCAACTAACCTCATTGTTTGTTTGTATGTATGTACTCGTATGTTCATTTCAGAATAAAGTTGGAAGTGGGGGGACAAGTTGAATTGCATGGTACTTTGTAGTTTAGGTAATGTAGTTTACCAGACAGAACACATTTAACACAGAAGTTCTATGTTCTGGGAAGTAGCACCATGTAGTCCATTGAAAGTTAGTCTCTGGTTGCTACCTAGTTCATGCTGGTGGTTTCATACTTGGTTTGTTCTTTGACCCTGAAGATGGAGGTGAGGTTGTGTTCTTGTGAAGCATCAGTACTTTCTCAGCAGACTGCATGGCATTAAATCACAGAAAGTAGAACTCTTCATAATCACTGCTGTGAGAACCTCAAATCCTACGTATTTAACATAAATTATGTAGTTATTGTGCATAAGCAAAATTAAGTGGCAGTTCTTCCAGAGAAATGTAATTCTGTCTGCATTTTGGTGATGTTACCTGATTTCTAAACTTTGTTCTACACAGCTCTGTAAAAGTTATAACTCCTAAAGCCAATTTTTTCTTTAAGAAATAATTTAATCACCTACAGAGATTAAGGTAAGTTAATTAAAATTTCCATACTGCTCTCCCAATACAATACAAAGTTTCTGCATGAAATAGTGTTTGTTCAGAATCTCTAATATAGTTGTCACAAGCTTCAGTATTCTTCTATGGAACAACAAAAATTTCTGCCCAGTTTTCTGTAGCACTCTGGATAAATATTGTACACAATTCAACACTGTTTTGCAGCCACTCTGTCCTGTTTTATACATTGCGGTAGAAGTACATTGTTTTTGTTTTGGTGTGCAATCTGGTTTGTTCTGTATGTTTTGTGTATTTTATTTTTCATAAGAAATAAACCATTCTGTTTATGTCATTCTATATGTCAAACATTTGTACCAGAAGAATGTCATATTACACAGCTTAAACTATGAAAGGATACTTAAAATATGTCGCAAAACCTTGCTTGTCTTACTATTTGTGACTGTCTGCGCACACAACAGGTGGTACTAACATGTATCAGGTATCATTGTACTGAGGAGCTTTGTTTCTCCCTTCGTTCAGTTCTGCAGCAGATCAATTGAGAATACAATTCTTTATTTCAGAAAATAATATCTACATGGAAAAAATGGTCAGCTGGAGATTCGGGGCCTGGGGGGAGAATATCTGGGTCGGTGTGTGGGCTTGATCCCAAGTAAGTACCTAAGTCCAGGTTGAAATATTGAAATAGAGCAATGGATACGTATTGATCATTCAGTTGTCTCTTGGTTTCTGTGTATGGGGTTTTGTACTCACTCTATATACATATATATATATATATATATATATATATATATATATATATACATATACATATACATATACATTTGCGTTTCAGATTATTCACAAATGTGCACAGGCACAGAATATAAAACATGTCAACAAGCCAACAAGACATTGGAAACTTGTACATTCACAAACAAATTCACTAGCATATATAATCCATACTTGTCAAAAAAACACATAAAAATGTTAAAACAAAATACAGATTGCAGCAAATACACATACAATAGTTAAAAAGCAATACAAATTGCAACAAGTACACATACAATAGTTAAAAAGCAATACAAATTGCAGCGAGAATATATAAGCACAGCCAAGGACATAGAGTT